AAATGAATATAGAATAGTTTTGTTTTTAATTTTTTCTTGTTTTTTGCTAAAATCTAATTATTAATTTAACTCTAGAGATAAGAGTGTGTAGTAAGATACTTAGAATAATTAATCATACCAAGGGATTTTCCCCTTATAATGCAAAAGCTTGTAACATACAGGTAAATAATTCCTTTAATTACATATCGGTAAGAAATATAATTTCAACCTCTCAGTATAGAATTATCTATCTATTATATGTATTTCTACTTAATAAATACTTATCTTGTTAAATATTTAAACCTTAGTTACTTATCTTGATATATTTCAATAAGACAGATTAACTTTAACAGAAAATAAGTGAACATATGCATATGTAAATTCAACTAAGTGAATTAAATCTCTTTGATCTTTACTAAACTATTTCTTTCTGAAGGAATATAATTCGAGTAACCTTGATTAAACAACCGATTCAAAAAGATAACTTAAGTCAATTTTTATTGAATGCTTACCAACTTAAATTGTTGCTTTGCATTAGAAAGTTATGAAGAACAACATTAAACAGTCTATAAAACAAGAGAAAGAAGTAAATTCTAACTCAAGCTCCGTGAGGGTGTCACACCTCGAGGAACTTCTTGAGTGTTCTTGGCACAATCAAATAACAAGTGACTCTTGTCGAACTTGTTCTAAAGTATTACCTATCACACTTCTTCTTTAATACAATCTTAAGTTTCTCTGTTTCTGAATAATAACTCTGAATATGAGATATGAATGAATTTCTTTCTTTTACTTTGATTGCTAATTTATAGAGGAGGAGAGTGATGGAGGTTTTGGTGGTGGATTGGTTGGCCAAAAAGGTGCTTAAAAGTGACTTCTCATTGGGAAGAGGTCCCGAACCCATGCATGGAAAAGTATGGAAAGATATGTATTTCTGATGAAAAGACAGCAATTACGTCTCCTGGAAATCTCGACTCGCGCTCGCGAGGTTGATGGTCGCGCTCGCGACTTTTGCGTCAAATGTCTCTGCCTCTCAGGAGTGCTTCTCGAACTTGCGCATGTGGATGTCGCGCTCGCGAATATTGCTTGCAAACCTTTTGACTCTCAGGAGTGCTTCTCGCGCTCGCGCATGTAGATTTCGCGCTCGTGACTTGTGCTTTTCTTTTCCTGCTGAGTCTTCTGGGTGTAAGTTGCGCGCGCGACCTCAGGTAGCGCTCGCGACTTTGGCAATTTTTCTTGTTGCGACCTGCTTCGTGTCGCGAAGGCTGTTTCAGGAACTTCTTCTATTTTTAATCAACTTTGTTTTGATCTCAGTGTACAAAGTAAGCTTTTTCATTCCTTTGCTCCAATTGTGTTCCTAAAATTACTTTGAAACAAAAACAACACGAACAAACGTAAAATATATAAAAACCTCATGCATTCATGCAATTTATATGAAAATAAAAATAACATAACAAAGTTTGCCCGCTTTGCGAGGCTATCATCCAGCAATGTCAACAAAGGTGCTGGATCACCTTGTACACACTGTAAAAAGTCAAACCATCAGTCTAAGAAGTGTTGGTGGAGGCCTGACATTAAGTGCAGAAGTGTGGCATTATGGGACACATGGAGAGAGTGTGCAAATCCCAACATTTCGTAGTAGCAAAAGCACATATAGAAGAAAATGATGAAGAACAACTCTTTGTGGCGACATGTTTTGCAGCTAAGAACAACTCAGGTGATTCTTGGTTGATAGACAGCGGCTACACCAATCACATGACCAATGATCAAACACCAATCACATGACCAATGATCAAACTCTCTTCATAGCGATAAATAAGACTTTTATCTCTAAAGTGAGGATTGGAAATGGCCAGCTTATTCCAGTCAAAGGAAAAGGCACAGTGCAAATTGAGAGCTTGAAAGGTTTGACACATATCTCTAATGTTTTGTATGTGCCTGATATTGATCAAAATTTATTGAGTGTTGGGCAGCTTCTTGAAAAAGGCTACAAAGTCTTTTTTGAGGATAAGTGGTGCTGTATTAAGGATGCAATGGGCAAAAATGTTTTTAAGGTGATGATGAAGTCCAAGAGTTTTGCTCTAAATTTGCTGGAGAATGGCCAAGCAGCACTTGCATGTCACTTCAGCAATGCAGAGCTATGGCACAAAAGGTTGGGACACTTTAATCATGCTGGATTACTTATATGCAGAAAAATGACTTTGTGAAGGGGTCCCACCACTCGAAGAAGAGCTAGCTGATTGTGTAGCTTGTCAATATGGAAAGCAAGTCAGGAAACCATTTCTTCGAATAGCATGGAAAGCCTCACACAAGCTACAGCTGGTGCATTCAGATGTCGGAGAGCCTCACACAAGCTACAGCTGGTGCATTCAGATGTCGGAGGACCTCAGAAAACATCATCTTTAAATGGTAATCAGTACTATATTACATTTATTGATGATTAATCATCTTTAAATGGTAATCAGTACTATATTACATTTATTGATGATTACACTAGATTTTGTTGGATTTACTTCTTCAAATCCAAAGCTGAGGTTGCTAGTATATTTTGAAAATTTAAAAGTTGGGTGGAGAATCAAAGTGATTGCAGGATACGTACAATAAGATCTGACAATGGAAAAGAGTACAAAAATGCATCTTTTGACAAATTTTGTGAAGAAGCAGGTATTGAGCACCAACTCACAACTCCTTACACTCCCCAGCAAAATGGCCTAAGTGAGAGAAAGAACCGGAGCATCATGGAGATGGCAAGGTGTATGCTTTATGAAAAGGAGTTGCCAAAAAATCTTTGGGCAGAAGCATCAAGTATTGCAGTCTTCTTGTTGAATAGGCTCCCGACTAGATCTATTGAAGGCAAAACACCATTTGAGGCCTGGTTTGGTTATAAGCCAGATTTACAAAATCTCAAATTTTTTGGTTGCCTATGTTTTTCTTATGTGCCTCAGGTGAAGAGAGATAAACTTGATAAGAAGGCAGAACTTGGTGTATTTGTTGGATACAGCAACACCTCTAAAGCTTACAGAATTTTCCAACCTCAAAATGGGAAAATTATTGTAAGTCGAGATGTCAAATTTATGGAGGACAAGTAATGGATTTGGGAGGAGCCAATAGAGAGAGAATTTCCAGAATTCTCTCAAGAACTTGATGACAATATAGATGATGTTCCAGTTCGTGGCATAAGATCATTGTCTGATGTCTATGCAAGAAGTAATGTTGCTGTTTTTTAGCCTGCAGAATTCAATGAAGCAATGAAGGATGACAAATGGATAGATTCCATGAAAGATGAGCTAAAAATGATCGAGAAGAATGACACTTGGGAGTTGGTGGATAGACCTCAAAATAGAAAGATCATTAGAGTGAAATGGGTTTATAGGACCAAACTCAATATTGATGGTTCTGTAAACGAACATAAAGCCAGATTAGTCGTGAAAGGGTACAATCAAGTCTTCGGAGTAGATTTTTCAGAAACTTTTGCTCCTGTTGCACGTTTGGATACTATAAGGATGTTGCTGGCCTTGTTTGCGCAAAAAGGTTGGAAACTTTATCAGCTAGATGTTAAGTCAGCCTTTTTTAATGGTTTTCTTCAAGAAGAAATCTATGTTGAATAGCCTGAGGGATTTCTAGTCAAGGGTAAGGAGGAGAAAGTTTACAAACTGAAGAAGGCTTTGTATGGCCTTAAACAGGCTCCCTGGGCCTGGTACAGTAGAGTTGATGATTATCTTCAAAGTCTTGGATTTGTGAAAAGTCCAAGTGAAGCCACTTTATATGTGAAGAAATCAGATGCTAAGTGAAGAAATCAGATGCTAACATAATTGTAGTGTCTGTTTATGTTGACGATTTGCTTGTTATAGGAAGCAATGAAAAAATGGTGAATGAATTTAAAGCTGATGTGTTCAAAGTTTTTGAGATGACAGATCTTGGTTTGTTGTCTTATTTTTTGGGCCTAGAGGTGAAACAAAGTGCTCATGAAGTCTTCATATGCCAGCAGAAGTTTGCAAAGGAAATTCTTAAGAAGTTTCACATGGAAGATTGCAAAGAAATTAAAGGAAATTCTTAAGAAGTTTCACATGGAAGATTGCAAAGAAATTAGCACACCAATGAATCTGAATGAGAAGTTCAGTAAAGAAGATGGAGCTGAAAAGGTAGATGAAGGGCTGTACAAGAGTTTGATCGGTTGCTTGATGTATCTCACAGCCACAAGACGAGATATAACTTTTGCCGTAAGTTTGTTGTCAAGGTTTATGAATTGTGCTAGTAAAGTTCATTTTGTAGCTGCTAAGCGTATTTTAAGATATTTGAAGGGCACAACCGATTATGGCATCAAATATTATGGCCTTAAAAATTTTCAGCTCCAAGGTTTTTTTGATAGTGATTGGGCAGGTTCTACTGATGATATGAGAAGCACAACTGGTTTTTGTTTCAGCTTTGGCTCAGGTGTTTTCTCATGGAGTTCAAAAAAGCAAGAGGTTGTTGCTCAAAGCACAGCAAAAGCAGAGTTTATTGCAGCAAATGCAACAGCGAATCAAGCAATTTGGATCCGTAAAATACTTGAAGACTTGCAGATAAAGCAAAATGATCCAACAGAGATTTTTGTTGACAACCAAGCTGCTATTGCAATCTCAAAGGACCCTGTTTTTCACGGAAAAACTAAGCACTTTAACATCAGGCTCTATCACTTGAGGGAAAAGCAGAAAGATGGCGAAATCAAGCTAGTGTTTTGCAGAACAGAGGAGCAGTTTGCAGATATTTTAACCAAAGGTCTTCCTAAAGCAAGATTCGAAGAGTTAAGGAACAAGTTAGGTGTATGCAAATACTAAGGCAAGGAGGAGAATGTTAGTAATTTGTCTTTAGTATTTGACTAAGTCTTTACAGTTTTTTGTTTTTGAACAAGTCTTTAAGCATGATTTGCTTGTTGCTTAATTATATGAGAATAGTTCAGTTTTTTTCCAGATTATTTGCAGTAGTTGTTAAGTAGTGATGTTTTTTTTCTTCTATAAATATTCAGCAGTAAATAAGAAGTTGTGTGCTTCCAAGTCCAATATATTCCAGTTTCTAAATCATTCTTCATATAGCTTCATATCAGTTTTTTACTACAGTTCTCCTTCATTCTCTGGTTTTATATTGTTTACGTTCATCTACTTCCTCCAGATTCAACAGACCAGGACATGTTTATTTCTTGCTTACTTGATGAAGAAGCAGTATCAGAAAGGCCTTTTCTTTCAACAAAAGCTGGCTGCCTAGGGATTGGAAAGGTTGCAACTTCACTACTTGGCATGACAACAACATTTGACATGTTGGGACGATCAGCAGGATCTTCTTGTACACATAACAATGCAAAATGTGGACACTTGATAAATTCATTGCGATTAACACTTTGACTTATTGTCTCATCCAAGAAATCCAATGCGTAATCTGCTCTCCACAATCTCCATGCCTGTCGTTTACATATTTGGTCAGTCCTAATTACCAGGAAAATAGAAAAGCATTAAATTAGACTAAAACTAACTATCCCAACTTACAGTAGTCAAAAGGTTCAATTCTTTTTCTAGCTTAAAAGCTCTGGTGCTCCTCCTTCCGCTTAGAATCTCCAGCACCACCACTCCATAACTAAAAGCATCTGATTTAACCGAGAATAGTCCATCTAATGCATACTCCGGGGACATATAGCCACTGCATGCATTTTCAGAAATTTATCATGATAATTCAGGCTTTCTTTTTTATTACCTTTCTAAAATAATCTAATATATTGGGCTTCCCAGGATTTAGTCAGGTACTCAAATTTTATACTACTTGAGTGAAACTTACTAAGTTCCCATAACTCTTTCTGTGCTTCCTTCTGTTTGTTTGCCTTCAAATATCCTTGCTAAGCCAAAATCAGAAATTTTTGGGTTCATTTCTGCATCCAGTAAAATGTTGCAAAATCAGAAATTTTTGGGTTCATTTCTGCATCCAGTAAAATGTTGCTTGTTTTCAAATCTCTATGAATAATCCTCAATCTAGAATCTTGGTGCAGATATAGAAGCCCTCGAGCCACTCCAAGAATGATGTTGAAGCGTATCTCCCAATTCAGAAGCAGACTCAGCTTTGGATCTTGAACATTTTTTCCATTCATACAAAGATTAGCAATTCTGAAACATACCGAACTTTTGCAATGAGAATGAGAAAATTCCTTTTGAGGCTTACCAAATATAAAGAAATCTAAGCTTTTATTTGGCATATATTCATAGAGCAAAATCTTTTCATTTCCGTGAATACAATACCCCAAAAGCCTTACAAGATTTCGATGTTGAAGTCTAGCGATCAGCACAACCTCATTTTTAAATTCCTCTAATCCTTGTCCAGAAACACTTGAAAGTCTCTTGACAGCAATTTCTTGACCTCCTGGAAATGTGCCCTGGACCACACTTGTCTTGCAATCAATTTAAGCCATTAGCCAGAAAAAAAACTTTTAATGCATTATCTGAAAATTACCTTGTAGACAGGCCCAAAGCCTCCTCTTCCAAGCTTGTTTGCGGCTGAGAAATTATCTGTAGCAGCTATTATGCTGTCTAAGTCAAAAAAGGGTATATCTATTCTCTTCTTGTCCTCTTCTTTAAAATCTTCCGAGTCTATCAAGCCTTTGACGCGTTTCTCAGTGCCATATAAAACAGTTGCATTTCTTTCAATATTTTCCTTTCTTTCTGAATTCAGGAATATAACTATAAATCTAAGACACCTTTCAGGAATATAACTATAAATCTAAGACACCTGCTGAAGCTAACAATATCTATCTATCTAAATATATAACTATGCATATACCCTTTTTTTTTTTTTTTTAAGTTGTTGGATTTTTTTTATAAATATTTATTTTTATATGTGTGCTAAAAAAATAACCTCCAATGCAATATACAGTAACAAAGTAATAAGGCAATCCGCGCAACGCGGGCTTCCTCCTAGTTAATAAAATTTAAGCTAAAATAGGGAAAGCTTTTTTAGTTACCTTTTCTTTTGACCATCCTTCTCTTACATATGAAAATGAGAGCGGTCACACATGAAAAAACTATAATGCATGCAATAGTTACTCCAAGGATCAAAAGCAATGGTGCATTTTTTCTGGGAGATCCTTCTTCTCCAAATTGCTTATGGTTACTTCCGGCTTCTACTGGAAGAATAAGGAATACCTTTAAATGGATTTATTTGGAAGAATCTAATCACATTGTGTTTCAAACCAAATGAATACATGGTTTTCATTTATTTTTACAGTTATTTGAGTCTTATGGCAGCATGCTGTCATCTCAAGAGGCACAGAATCCATTAAACACGAAAATGAAATTGGAAAATGCATCATGAAGTGTTTCATGCCCTTATATATAGTAAGATGTTCACCAGGAGTACAATTTAGCGCAGAGCCATCCCATCTGAAGTTAGCATTGCAAAGGCACCTTTTCGGACCATCTCTTACATTGCATGTTGAATGTGGCCAATCCTTGCAGTCGGAAGAAGAGATGCAGCTTGGCTCTTGAGGTGGATCCCAACTGATCTCTATTTCATCGATACCTTGAAATTTAATATCAGAACTTAAACTTCCTGCATCAGTATCACGCGAGCATGTTACATTAATCAATTTAAAATGTGAAGATAGCGACTGGTTTAGTTGCAGAACGTCGCCACTTCTGGCATCACAATAAGTATCTGTTTCTTTTGCTTGGATGACAAATCTTCTTGCAGTTGGATTGATGCTAGTGACATTGTAGCTGCCAGCTTCAGGTACATTGAAGCTAAGCTTGCCTGTGGAGTAATTGCTGCAGTGAAAATTGAAATAAGCAGGATCACCACAATTTGATCCTGTACTTAGAGGATAAGGAATTATATTTGTGCCGCAAGCTTTGCAAGTTCTCACAGTTGATTCTGCAAAAGTAGATTTTGTTACTTGCAAGTTCTCACAGTTGATTCTGCAAAAGTAGATTTTGTTACTTTTTTCTTTCCAATAGCATACAAAATAATTACAACAAGATCCAAGTCATCATTGCTAAACAAATTGAATCACTCTTGCTTAAGTGGAAGGAATACTACGTCACCTACAAATGAATTTCAGCATTTATTAGACAATATTCTACCCACTACAAAATAGTTAAACTATATATTATGTTTGCTGCTCCTCTGTTTAGCTCTAATGCGTTGCTCAATTAAGAGGTTTGCTTCAATAAAATTAAATAATCTGTGATAAGGTTTCATTTGTTTCAAGAATGAAAATCAGATTTTGTACTGCAAGATGCTACATCCATAGAAAAAAACCTGGAATAGGAGGTACCTAAGTCAGATCTTGCCAGACGCACAGAGATGTTATGACCACCATCATAATCTTCCTGAAGATATTTAAGTTCCTCTGTCCAAATCCAGCAAGTGGAGGGTGCCGTCCGTTCACTATTTTCATTTTGAGTGTAGGAATAAGCAACGCATTGACAATTCTGAAGACAATTTTTTTCACATTCTGTTTCATTTATATCATCAATTCTTGAATCTGTATTGCTCACTTTCATCTTCTTCAATTTCAAGAAGATATCATTCTCGTTACAAGTTGAATTTCTAGTGCATCCACTAGAAAATTCTCTGTTGTCCCAGTGTGCTTGAACTTTAGGCCTAAAACCTGGCAAACATTTGCAGGCCAACTTATTGTTTGAATTACAACTGCTGAAGCTTCCACAAGCATCAAGCACACTACATCTATCCATTGGTTTCCTCCATAGTAAAGACCATTTATTTTCATCCATATCCAAGCTCCAATACAGTATCTCCCCATTAAAATTAATCACAATCCTCTACTATTATAAATCGAGCGTGCACTTGAACTTTTGTTGAATAACAATTTTTGTACTGCATAAGGTAGTTTATCAGAATGAAAAAATTCACCTGAAACCCCACTTCTCCAATGATGGATATAGCTATTGCGATTGATGATAAGTTGATTCACATCTTCTTGATCTAGCTTCAATGTGAAATTTCCAGGTTTTGGATCAATTTGACTCGTCCATGAGGTCAGCGTAATGTCGCTCATGTTCATACCCGAAATAAATGTATCAGTTGGTTGTTCAAAGCTTTGCCATACAAGCTTTTTGGCTTATATTCACCTTCCCACTGGTTTCCTCAAAAACCAAGTTTCCAATCCATGCCGCTTCGCCTCCAGATAGAAATTTTTGGATTTGAAGGTCCATCAAGATTTGATGCCAATAAAGTTTTTCCAGATTTATCCAATACCTTAGATTCGCCTAATCTACAGAAAAAACTCCACCAGTTTCTGTAAGTGGGGAATCTTCCATTGGCAACCCACAATGTTTCTTGGACTTATTTTATTACCAGATTACATATCTTCGATTATCAAGAACTTCCTGCAGGAGTAACAGGAGTAAAGAACCCCAGTTCAAATCTTTTTCCGGATGAAACAAGAGTTTCTCCATCTCTAAGCAAATTGTTTGGTGAGATAATATCCCTACCGAAGGAATGAAGAACTGAAGAACACAATATCAACATACCAAATATGATAGTAATGGCTAGCATCTTATCGATTGATTTCAAGATGATTATTCATTGTCTTAGCTATCATCAAGAGGTGAAAGAAAGGATTCAAATAATTGAGGAGATATCTACCATACAGGAAGGAAAAGTGTGAAAATGAGTTCAAGTCAACCAGAGGTCAAGTCAATGGTTAAAGCAATGCTCAGCCTAATGAGTTGCTATGATTAAAGTGTTCGAAGCACTAGACATGTGATAGTTTAAAACATAAATTTACTTTATATGTTTGTCCATTCGCTTTCTGTAATTATACTTCAACTTTAACCATTTACAGTTTCATAAATTAAATTTAACAATTCCCTGTAGAATTGTACATGTTGAGAGTAATCTCATGTCATTTTATTAAATTGTCCAAAATATAAACCTTTCAGTCTGAGAATGGAATAGTCAGCTCGCTGATTCTTCGGACAACAAAGTAATAACAAGAACTTCTGTCACTATGCCATTGTTGGAATTGTTCGAAGACTTCAGTCATCTGGTATTGGCCAAAAATCAAAAAGTTACAAGCTTTATAATAACGGAGATAGTTATAAATTTAATTTACGGAGATAGTTTATAAATTTTAAATTTCTCAACCTTTAAATTTCATATCTCTTCTCCAAAAAAAAAAAATTTGCATCCATTATCTGAAACCCTATAAATTTATAATTAATGTCCTTTAAGCTCTTGTCGAGCTTGAATGCGAAAAGTGTGCCCAATCGAGTTCACCAATGAGTTCAAGTCAAACAGAGTTCAAGTCAATGGTTAAAGCAATGCTCAGCCTAATGAGTGGCTATGATTACAGTGTTCTAAGCAACTAGACATGTGATAGTATAAAACATAAATTTACTTCATATGTTTGTCCATTCGCTTTCTGTAATTATACTTCAACTTTAACCATTTACAGTTTCATAAATTAAATTTAACAATTCCCTGGAGAATTGTATATGTTTGAGAGTAATCTCATGTCATTTTATTAAATTGTCCGAAAAATAGACCTTTCAATCTGAGAATGGAATAGTCAGCTACCTGATTCTTCGGACAACAAAGTAATAACAAGAACTTCTGTCACTATGCCATTGTTGGAATTGTTCGAAGACTTCAGTCATCTGGTATTGGCCAGAAATCAAAAAGTTACAAGCTTTATAATAACGGAGATAGTTATAAATTTAATTTCTCAACCTTTAAAATTTCATATCTCTTCTCAAAAAAAAAAAAAAAAAAAAATTAAAAAAAAAAAAATTGCAAATAAATATAATTTGTTAATTAATTATGATAAGATTATCTGAACCCTATAAAATTTTATAATTAATTGTCTTTTAAGTCTTGGCTAGCTCGAATGAAAAATTTTACTTGGACTGAATTTGTGGCTCCATGTATTGATTAAACTAATGAAATTAAAAATTTTTATTGAAATAAGGATATTTTGACTGTGCAAACAAAGAAGTCATAGTTTCGTTAGTTTGGTCCGGATGATAGACCGAATTTAGGCAAGTAATTTCCAGCCCAAAGTTTGTATAGTTGGACATGAGCCCACACCACCAATAAAAAAAGAGTATAAGTTGGCACCCAAAATTTAATTGCTGACTTGGATTAAATAGATGCGACATGGCACAAAAGCTTAACAAAATACATTTTTGTCGTTCTTTAACAATCTATTTCCCCCCTTCATCTTCCTCCGTACATTTTTAGGAGCTTGAAGAACCTTTCGAAACCCACTCACAGGCCTCTTGCAACTAGCTTCCACTGGCCTGCACGCACGAACATGGACATAACAATCACCAACGACCAAATAAATAACGAAAAGTCAATATGTATAAACACAGACACTAGCTATTGTTAAAATAATATGTATAAACACAGACACTAGCTATTGTTAAAATTTATTATTAGAATGTAATTTAATTAAATTATTTATACTATTATATAATGTTTATACTAAAAATACATTTGATTATATAATATTACATTCAATGAAGAACTTTAATTTAACTAGCAATTTTCAAATCTGCTTTTAACTCATATGAATTCAAAGGATGCTTATTTAATTAGAATATCAAATATTAAATAAAAGGTATTCTTAAAATAAATATTTTAAAGTGAAATAAGATTATTTTGAAGTTTTGAACTATAATTGTTGTATAAATATTGAGATATGAAAAACGTTTAAAGAACTTCTATTTCTTAATTGGTTTATGAGATACATTAAATTTTTGCAAGCTAAAATCTTGAAATTGTCAAACGAAAAATTTGTTAATTTGTTGGATAAAAATGAATATATATTAGTAATATGCAGATATAAAATTATTACCAACTGTAATCAAAATTGCTAACCAAGCGTGGCCTAAGTCCAAGACAACAAAAAAGCAATAGCCCGGTTCAGTGCTAGGGATGGAAGCGGGACGGGTAGCAGCGAATTTTAAGCTATCCGTACCCGTATTCATTTAAAATTTTATTATCCATATTCGTTTCAAAACCCGTTTAAATATCTATTTAAGTACCTCTATCTGAAACCGTTTAGATTTTTATTACCCGTATCCGTTCAAAATTCGTTTAAAATACCGTTATATGATAGGGTATCCGTGAATTTTAAACTATCTAAATCTGAACTTATTACTAATAATAGATAGGATACCCATGGGTACCCGGATAACGGGTAGCAGGTATCTAAAGACCTATACTCGTACACTATTTGTACCCATAACGGGTATCCGTATCCATCTCAAACCCATTTATAACTATCCATATCCTTTTTAAACGGATCGGAGCGGACATATAACCTAAAATACCTGCACTGATTTCATCCCTACTCAGAGCCGAGCTACCAAGCAATCTAAAGTCAGTCTCAAAATGAGCTATTAGACAAGTGCTACTCTACAACTAATACGTACTATGTCAAAAAGTCAATATTCATAATTAACCGCTTGTATACAATCTTCCACACTTCTATATAAGGAAGCACATGCCCTATGTTAAAGGTAAATTGATAACTAGGTGAAGGCCCACGTATTGCGCGGATTGCTTTATTATTATTTTTTAAATGATTGTTTTATTAGTATATTATAATTTATACTTCATAAATTGCATTTACTAATAAATTAACAAAAATAAAAAAAAATCTCTTAATTAGTGTGAACCAATAAATTTATTTTTATAGGTGTGAACCAATAAATATAGAATAAATTTATTTTTATAGGTGTGAACCAATAAATATAGTCATACATATGAAGTTTTACAAATGAAAAACTAAATTAAGAATCTTGTTTAATAGTTTCTTCTAAAAATATTAAATTTAGAAGATATATACACGTGGAACAATGACCATATTTTGCATTCATGATCACTTCATTTAACGGTTTGAGAAATTCAGTCGATCCCGCAATGTTAGGTTTATATATTAATAAAATTAAATCGTTTAACATCACCACAATCAAAGGAAATAATGTTTGAGATCCAAACAAAATTCAGTCTTCTAAACCTGGAGAGCCAAAACAAGTAATGCTCGAGAAACCTGCAGAAAGAATGTCTCAACATTTCAAGCCATTATATATAACTACACACATTGATGGAAAACCCATTTCAAGGGTTCTTGTAGATAATGGATCGACATTGAATATAATGACATTCAAAACACTTTTAGCTATCGGAAGGACACAGGATGATCTTATAGCTACCAACATTTTAGTGTTGGCATTTACTAGTGATATGTCAAAAACTACGGGAGTGCTACTTGTAGAGATTACTGTTGGTAGTAAAACATCTTTGTCAGCCTTCTTTATTGTTACATCCACTGTTGGTTATAATGTGTTACTAGGAAGGGACCGGATTCATCGTCCTCCTTGCATCAGTTTCTGATATTTTGGAAAGGTGATGATGTGGAAGTTGTGTGGGCGGACCGTAAACCTTTTCAAGCTAACTCCAATGCCCTAAAAGCACAACGGTATGATGTAGATTTCAGTCCCATCCATTGTATCAGGAAGGGGTGGACTCGAGGGGAAGCAGTTGAAGTTGAAGATAATTTTTCTCTTGAGGAAGTTGGCGCCTTGAATCAGACTAAGTATGTAGTTACTAAAGCTTCAGAGGATCCTAGTTCGTCTTCTGATAGCTCTCTAGATATTTCTGAAGTCAGTTCAACGTCATTATTAGCCATCGTGCCTTATAAAAGGTTGAGCTGGGAGCCTGGGATGATAAAGCTCCATGATTAAGAAAACATACCCTAATGAGGAGATGGCAGCAGCTGCAACTGCTATCTCCAAAACTTTTTTGCAACGATTGTTTGATAGGTTAGCTATGGAAGAGTCACAGGAAGTTGATGGGGCTGAGATGATCTTTGAGGAAGAACCGATAGATTATTTCAGGGAAGAGATCTAGTTGCATGAGTATAGCCCTATGCCACCAAAGTTGGATGACATTCTTAAGGAGTTGAGGATCCCTTGGAAGAAATTAACCTTGGCACACCTGAGAATCCAAGATTAACATATGTTAGCAGCCTGTTGAAACTTGAGCTAAAATAAAAAATCATAGTTGTTTGTGCTCACAAGGTCTTAGAGGAAATGCTTATTGGCTATCAAATAGTACAGGAGAGCCGCACAAGAGAAATGCCAGTGGTTGTTACCTTAATGAGTACTATCCCACCAAATGGGACATGAGGGATCATCAGCAATGAATGCAGTAGGGCTGATCCCACGACCCTATTAAGAAAAGTCACCTGTAGCAAGCAATGCAACAATTATAGGCAGGTCACATAGCTGATTCCACGACAAGCATGAAAAAAGTAAATAGGTCCATTGGCTGTTTCTTTCATAAATGTGTAAAGGCCAATTCACGGCTTTAAGTATATTCATCCAAAAAAATATATATTTAAAAAAAAGTGGGTCAGTCGAGGTTCATATCTTGAAACTAGTGCTAGGTCTACTGCAGCTATGAAATAGCAGAGGAGTGAGTCTCATGGCTTTCTATCTAAGCCTGTACTTGAGAACAAAAAGGTAGATCACTAAAAAAAGGAGTAAATCTCAAGTAATGGATCCTTAATCTCAATAATAACAACAGATAAAATTGGAAGAGGAGTCGTTCAGCTGGATCCAACAAAGATAAGCATATGTGATTGAGAACATACCTGTGGAGAAGAGATAGATCGAACATCGGAATCTTAATTAGTGAGAAGAGGAGACTACTGATGTATGAGTCAAAGGAGTCGCCTCAATTCAAAAAAACAACTGATAAAGAGGATGAGGTATCAGTCGCAAATGTCCTTTAGGAGAACATGACAAAAAGAAATTGTGCAAAGTTTAGCAGAGGAACTTACTAGAGGAGTTAGTGCATTAGCAAGGGTACCGCCCAAGGAATTACCAGATGAAGCAGTGGAACCTGTGATCGAAAAATTAAAGGTACATAATTTATATTTCATCTCAAAGGAATTAGTTCTTTCCCTCTATAGGAAAATATTTTCACTGGTGCTAAAATCTAGAAAAATAGTTGCCAGTGGAATTGGTATCGAAAACTTGGTGTCGCTGGAATATTTTTTTTATTGGTTCCATGGCTATGATTCTTAAAAAATTCACCAAAGACAAGATACAAATACCTAGCTATTTAATTCTCCTTCACAAATTTACTGCCACCCAAACCTTCACAAATTACTGCCACCTGCAAAAAGACTCACTTTTTGATTTAACACACAACACACACACACACCACACACACACACAAACACACACGACACACCAACAATATTTATTATAATATATATATATATATATATATTATAAAAAACAAATATATATATATTATAAAAAAAACAAAACAAAACAACAAAATTGAAAGAAGGAAAAAGAAAAAGAAAGTTGCAGTAATGTGTGTGTATACATATTATTAGCAAATCAAAAGAAAAAAGAAAAGAAAAAAAGGAAAAGCATCGAAAAACAGTCGCAATCATCATCATGGACGTGGGCTTTCAAAGAACAAAGCCAACAATTGGCTAAATCAAGGCCATGTTAAGGTTAAAGGTGCAGGTTTTGGTGATGCGCTTGAATTGAGAAGCTGTGTTTTTTTCCATTTGTGCTTTGAAAATGGTGGGATATGATTTGGCTACAAAATTTGTCTTGATAAATTGGCGGCACACAAATATGAGAGAAAATAAGTTTCAGGGGTTTTCTTGTTTATTTGTTGTATAGTGTTAAAACTCTATGATTTTTTTGAGAGTTTGGTGAGAGAGAGTGTTATTGTGGGATTGTGTTTTAATATTTAAATTTTAAATCATAAATGGGTTCGAATTTGCAAAATGGGCCAACATGTTAAGCATTACTTAATAAGTCAACTTAATAAAGGGGCAATTGTTAAACTCATTTTGTGATTTTTTACGTTTGGATTTTGTATTTTGGGTTTGGGCTTGAATTTTTAACACTCCAATTAATATTGTTTTGTGTAATTAATTAATTACTTTGTATTAATTAACTAATTAAAAAGAAAGAGATAAAGAAATGTGGGCTGTAGTTGAATAAGAAGAGCACTCCTCAAGCGCACTCTGCACTCCTCAAGCAGTTGTTCATGTACAAAGGTGAAAGTCCAATGGAGCTAATAACCGGAACGTGCATCAGTGGATCCTTTTAGTAACTGCCTTTGGAGCTTATAAAATGAGCAAGGAAATCAGTGGATCCTTTTAGTAACTGCCTTTGGAGCTTATAAAATGAGCAAGGAAACAACATAAAAACAACCAACCAAATTCCAAACCAAATTCTCCGATGAATTCAACAAATCAAATGAAACTCTCCAACGAGTCATCAATGTAATTTCAAAGCCTTGTCTTTATTTTTCCTAAGCACTGTTCATTTACATTTCCTATAATTACAAGCTCACTTTTCAATACAAGCAATCAATTCACATTTTAAGCAGTCAAAGTTCTTTTACATTTCAAGCAGTCAAAGTTCTTTTACATTTCAAGTAATCAAATCTTTATTTACAAATTCATCTGCCAATTTATTTTTATTGCACAACAGGTGAAACGTATACTGTGGATCCAAACCCACAGCCTAGAAGTAGATCAAGTACGATATTAATTTTCAGTTGGTGTACTTTACACACTTGGCACGTCTGCATTTCATAATTCAAGCTATCAGTCAATTGATCAATGCTCTTTCCACAGATAGAACCAACAATTATTTAAAATTGTCACAATCCCCAGTAATACAAAACACAAATAAGAAAAATAAATCAATAAATAAATAAAAGAAAAAGACCAAATTTCTAGAGGTAGTGTGTGTGGGTCCCGTATGTGTATGGCACAACCCAAGCGTATCTGTGTATTGGCGAAACCCAATCGAGGGGCGGTGAATTGGGTTTTCTAAACAATATTTTAGAATTTAAGAAAACAGATATCAAATGTCTAAGTGCAAGCGGAAAAAATAAAGAACTTGTTAAGAATAGATTAATGGATTAGAACTTCCTCCACAATGTTTTCTATTATACAAGAATAGAAAGACTTGCAAAGTACAGCTATTAATAGACTGCTTCACAATGGCTTATTCCAATATTGAACTTCTTTATGACGAAAAGCTATTGTATTAGAATTTTCCTCATAAAGTTTTATCGAAAATCATCTATAAGGACTGAAGTTGAGACGACAGTTATGACAATTTAAGAACTCTTCAAGAGCCTTAACCAGGTTTAGAAACAGATTAGAAACGCAGCAAGAGTGAAATTATACTGTAAATAGAAGAACTGCTTTTAAAACTTGTATATTCAGCTTTATCGAATTCAGAGTCATTATTCAGGAAAAAAGATAAGACTATTTCCGCTTTTTAGACATCAATCATTAAAACTTTAGCATTTCTAAAATATAAACAAGAGTGTAAGTAGAGAGCCAGTTATCAAGCAAACTCAGGAAATTAAAAAGATGTAACACCTCCAGTTGATTTATAGATGGTTCGACACTAACTCGCCTACAATCCACTCCCCAAACTCATTTTTGAGATACCTCCAACTATGTCTATCTCTTTTCAACGGGTAAGAGACAAACCAAACAATACAAGCGCAATAGCACATCAACACCTAGACTATACCCTTTTATCCCACTAGATTTTCCAAAGGTTCTACGTTAACCCTCACCCTTTCTGTTTGGCAGAGTATAGTAAACTCAATTCAAAGGACATCTAGAATGTCAACAAGGGAGAAGGCGGCTTGTAACCTTTTTCACAATAGCTTCTACCTAGCTTTACACACAAGTTTATCAAATTGAAAAACCTGTCTACTAAAGATTACAGATCTTAATAGACAGAAAGAAATTGCACTATAAGACAGGAAAAACAGCTTTATCAGATTTAGAAAATCGGTTTAGAACCCACAGAACCGTTTTTAACAAGTTAGTAACAAATTCTTTTCTCTTTCAAGGATAAAAAAACGTTAAAGTGTAAAGACGTAAAGAAAAATGGGGCGGAGAGAGTAGGTTTTGAGGAGATAAAGATGTGATTCCCAATAGGAATGCTTTCTTAACAACGTAAAATCTTACTCCTCATAGTTCAAAACGTGTGAGCTCCTATCTATACCTTTATATAGAGAGATATGAAGCTCTCGCTTTTGGAAAGAAAATATTTCATTTTGAAATCAGAATATCTTCTTTCCTTATTTAGAAGATACGAAAATTTTTATTATCAAAAATTTATTTTATCCTTTTTGGTAAGAGAATAAAATACGATTTTACTTTCCTTTAAACAAAAAGATTTTCGGTAGCATTTTTGGAAAATATTTTTCGAATAAGATACTACTGACTAAAAACGAGAAGATACAATCTTCCTTCATTTTAGGTAAGAGAATAAGTTGAAATTCTTTAGATCTTCAAAAGATATTTCCGAAAAGTAAAGTGTATGATTTTATTACCAAAAACATTAGAGACGTAATCCGCTAAAGACATAATCTCTTTAATTTTAGGTAATTAAATCATTTTGATTTTTAAATAATATTTTTGAAAATAAAATTTTTGATGAAAGAATTTATTTTGGAGAATCTAATTTCCGAAAAATATTTTTGATGAGAGAAAAATAGTTTATGTGTTTATAGATGAATTTTCTCTCTATCCTACAATGTATCCTAAATAAAAACCTAACCACTAAGTTCTTCGGATATCTTCACACACAATGTAAGACTTGCCTTGTACGTTTTCTTTCCATAAGAAATTCTGCATAAAATAATATTAGCACAAATAACATAATTTAAATTTATTTATTTTATTTTAATCATCAAAATAATTCGTAAGATTAGAAATTTGACCTTTGAGCCATACAGTGTGTTTAGTGAATCAGGATGAATATAATTTAGCTAGTGTGCATTTGAAACCTATTAAATTAAATGGCAAATGGAATGCAGATAGAGACAATTATGACGTATATGTAAATGTATACAATATGAAATAAAATTCTAAATATTATAGAATTCTAATTATAAACCTCTACTTAAATAAACAATGAGCGATAAATAACTCATTAAGCGCAATTTTGCTGGCTAGCTTATTCTTTATACATGTATATTTATATTTGTTAATAGAATTCTATTCCTAACTTGCTAGTCAAAAAATGTATATTTATATTTTTAATAGAAATTCTATTTCCTAACTTGCTAGTCAAAAAATATAAGCTTTGTAAAAAATTTAAATTCATTACTTACAAGTTGCAACATCTAGCAATCTACTCTCTGGTTCTTGGAATAATCAACTCCATAACTTCAGGATCTTTGTAATCTCTACATTTCATTATAAGAAAAAAAAAAAAAAAGAGTAAGTTGAAGGAAAAAAATAAAAAAACATCAAACAATTAAAGTGCATGTAATTATTTGATGAAAAGTTTAATTATACTAGATTCCCAAATTTCAAGTTCTTTAAGAGATTGTTCAAGTTGGACAGGTTTGTTTGTATTTCTTAGCCAATACTTGGCAACAAATTAGGACCTCTGCGGTAGTTGGAAGTAAGGAACTCCTAAATTGATACAATGTCTTCCCTCCAATGCTGAATGCATATTCAGAAGCAATAGTCGAGCATTAAATAGTTAAAACATCCTTTGCTACCTTGGATAAAATAGGATACCTACCTATATTCAGTTTCCACCATAATAGCAAATTGAAATCCTTAACGAACTTCTCAGGATGTTGGTCTAAGTACCTTTATAACTCATATTGAAAAACTGAACTTTGTTCTTTCTTAAGTTGAATAAAGTACTCAATAATTTCATCATCCTCTTCCTCTTGCATTATTGCATCATTGTTTTCTTTAACACTAAGATTGTAATTTGAACCACCATTAGTTTTTATATATTATAACTTATATCTAGGGCTCTAAAACAATTGCTACAAATAACATCACATTCATTTTATTTAATGAACTCTTG